TCCTCAATTTTCTCCTCTCTCTCTCTCTCTCTCTCTCTCTCTCTCTGATGGAAGGCACCGTTCATTATCTCCCCCTGTCACCTTTCTCTCACTCCTCATCTCTCTAAATAACTCACTAGATATCTCTCAAGGTTCTCTCTTGTTCTCTGCGTTAGTCCTTGTTTATATCTCTCTCACTCCTGACCCTTGCCTCCCCTCCCCTCTCACTCCCCTGACCCCTCCTCCTCCTCCTCCTCCCTCACACTCCTTGCCTCCCTCCCATACCCCTGGCTCCTCCTCCCACATACCACCTGGCTCCTCCCTCCCACATATCTCCTGGCTCCTCCCTCCCACATACTCCCTGACCTCTCCCTCCCTCAAGCTCCCTCTTTCCCTCCGTCATACTCCCTGTAAGTATGTATGTATGTATGTATGTATGTGCAGTATGTATGTAAGTATGTGTTTATGTATGTATGTTCGGTAGGCTAGTCGAGTTTTGTCATCGGTGTTAAAAGTCGATGAGTGAGTCTCGTCCGCCGGAGTAGAGAAGGGAGCCAGCCAGCCAAGCACCTCATCACAGGCTTGTAAAACACTTGATGGAGCTGTAATTAACTGTTGTGGAAGAGTGTGATTGTTGGGTTTATCTGTGTGTGTGTGAGAGACAGACAGACAGACAGACAGACAGATTCGCACATAGAAACACAACTCACATACACACACACACACACACATGTATAAAAAGGCACAACAAACAAGTATACACAGTCACGAAATCACACACACACAACTACTCGCAGATTTGTACATACAGGGGTGTATATAAAACACACAACGAGATACCTAACATATACACAATTCACACATACATACATACATACATACATACATACATACATACATACATACATACATACATACTGTACATACGCTCCAGAAAAAAAAAATCTTACTCCTCAAAAATTACTTAAGAAACTGAGAAAAAGTTTGGTCCAATTACACCTCGACCAACTGTGTCTGGTTAGGGGGCACGTGTGGTTGTGGCCACACCTGTGATTGGTGGCCACACCTGTGATTTGTGGCCACACCTGTGATTGGTGGCCACACCTGTGATTACGGTCAAACTTCTTATTGTGACCACACCTGTTATTGCAGAGAGAGACAGAGGCAGTGAGAGAGAGAGAGAATCATTGAGAGAGAGAGAGAGAGACAGACAGGGAGAGAGAGAGACAGAGGCACAGAGATAAACATAGAGAGAGGGAGAGAGAGATAACGTCAAATATCCATCGCTACAATTACACAGTTGTCTGGTGTCAAGGGTGAAGTGAGACGAGATGAGATGAAGTGAGGAAGACATCGCATCGTCGTCATAGCCGCTGTGGATGATGATGTGGCAACAGTGTGCAGCGCTGCCAACAATATCCCCCTGATTGCTAATTAACTCTCTGTCTTGCCACCTTCCGGACTCTCATTTGACCCCCAATCAGGAGTAATTATTTAGGTCATTAACTTCTCAATCCCCACTCCGCTTATCCTACTTCTGGAAACTCTTCTTTTTTTTTTTAAGGATTTAGGATCATAGGAAGGAGCATCAGATTCTCTTTTACGTCTGTTTTTCTTATTTTTGCGTTTTTTAGGGTTAGTTTCCCGCGTTTTTTAGTGTTGTTTTCCCGCGTTTTTTAGTGTTAGTTTCCCGCGTTTTTATAGCGTACTTTTAGCGTTTTTCGGGTAGTTTCATTACGTTTTTAGGGTAGTTTTATCGTGTGTTTTTTAGGGTAGATTTCCCGTGATTTTAGGGTAATTTTCCTGTCATTAGAGGTAAATTTTCTATTTTGGGGGATATTTTTCCAACATTTTTAGTATAATTTCTGTTTCTAGGGTAATTTTGTCCCCACCTTTTCAGAGTAATTTCCCTGCGTGTCTTAGCTACTTTTTCCTCAGTTGATGTGCTTTTGCTTACAGTAATTTTCCCTGTTTATTTTTTCCTTCGTGTTATTTCCCCAATTTCCCTGTACTTTTTTCCCCTGCTGGCGTATAACATTTCCCCCGCTTTTTCCTGTCGTTTATAATTTTGGGTTGACGTAAAATAATAAAGAAAATCATATATAAAAACTTTCCTTATAAATCAAATTAATTTTTCTGTATTCATATTTATTGTATATATCTGTTTTTGCGTTTTTGTTTTATTACTTTTGAAACAATTAATGAAAAACTAAAACAACCATGTCTTTTATTATCTATGTATTTCTATGCTTTTATGTAATCATCTAAAACAATTATTAAAACAAAAAGTATTTATTTCTCTATACATTTCTATCCTTAAACAACAGACAATAACTATTTATTTCATTATCTATACATTTCTATCCTTTTATTCACTCATCTATAGTAATAAAAAACAAAACAACTTCTTTCATCATCTATAGACTTCTATCATTTTATTCACTCACCTCTTTGTTCCATTCGTCTAAAAACAATAAAAAGCAAAATAACTTCTTTCATTATCTATACATTTCTTTCATTTTATTCACTCACCTAAAACAAGAAACAAAAGCAGTGCTAAAACAAACAATAGAGGTGTTGTATTTCCAGTCCTCATCACGGCCGCCTCACAGCCTCCGTGTCCGTCCGGGCTAATTGTTCAAAACGTTTTTCTGTTGTCACTTTTCCTCAGTTTTTTGTTTGTTTTACACTATTTTTTGGTGTGTGTGTGTGTGTGTGTGTGTGGTAGCCACTGATATCAATCAGATGAAATTTACCAAAGCTACATGGTCTGATGGAATCCCAGCTGAGATGTATAAAGCAGGAGGACCTCTGCTTACCAGCCGACTCCTCTCTCTCCTGGAGATTATATGGGAGTAGAAGGAAATCCCCCAAGCCCTTAAAGACGCCTCCAACGTCAATATTTATAAAAACAAGGGAGACCGGTCACACTGTGGCAACTGCTTTGGGATCTCGCTGCTGCCCGAGTCCTCCTAAACAGATTTCTTCCTGAGGCGGAAAATTTACTCCCAGAATCTCAATGTGGCCTTAGACCACCATGTGGCACCACTGACATGATCTTTGCTGCCCGCCAGATACAGGAAAAATGCAGAGAACAGCGTCGTGACCTGTACATAGCCTTCATCGACCTAACCAAGGCCTTCGACTCGGTCAACAGGGAAGCCTTCTGGCGTACCCTCAGCTGTTTTGGCTGCCCACCAAAATTCATCGCCATTGTGAGGCAACTCCACGATGGTATGAACGGCAGTGTCCTGTACAATGGCACCCAGTCTGAGTTCTTTCCCACCCAAATGGGGTAAAATAAAGATGTATACTGGCACCAACTCTTTTCCACATTTTTTACTGTCTTCCTAATGGCCATGTCACACAGAAAGTTATGCTCGCTTCTCTACGCACGTGTGCTACGTGTTTTGAATTACTGCAATGGTTTTTAAATTAGGTAACTCACGCGAACAGTGAAGCTACGAGCGCCACGCAGTGGTTTGAGTTACCACGCCAGTGCCGACCTTGCCGGTGGGGTAGACATCCAGTAATGAATGAAGGGACTTTTCTACATAAGACGACTTCAGGCAAGGGCAAAGGTGTCGGCCGCTTCCATCGGTAAACCTCAGTATGCAGACGACCTCACCCTCGTCGCTCACACTGAACGACCTTGAGGTGAATGTATGCAAAACACAAATACTGTTCCAGCCTGCCCCTGGTTTAGCCACGCCTCCACCGTCCAGCCAGGTTAATGGTACTACCTTCACTCAGGTTAATTATTCCTAGTACCTCGGCTCCCAACCTGTCCACCACAGCGGACATCAATGAAGAGATCCAACACCGAGTCAGATGTGCATCTCAAGCCTGTAGCAGACTGCTGCAGGGAGCTGAAATTATCTACAATGATGCACGTATATCGAGCAGTGGTCTTTCCCACCTCCCTGTATGGCAGCAAGACATGGGTCACATACAGGAGGTACCTCAAGGCACTTGAGAACTTCCACCGATGTAGTTTACATGCCTTCTACCGAGTCCGCTGGGATGACAAGATGGCAAACACTATTATTCTCGCTCACATCAATTGTTTGAGCATCGAGGCTGCTATTATCCGTGGCGAAAACAGCAACTCTACAGTCTTATAGAGAATGACAAACGTAACGTTGGTGGCCAACTGAAAAGGTATAATGATAGTCTTAAGACAAACCTGAAGGACGACCACTCCACACGGTAACGCTTGGAGGAGCACCACACGAGGTGTTAATACTTTAGAGTTAGCCCGACTGCTTACCGAGGCAGACAAGCGCCAACGCATTAGATGTAGTCCTCCACGTGTGCAACATCTGTGGACGGTCCTGCCAGTCCCGCATCGGCCTCTCGAGTCACTTCAGAGCTCACCAACGAAGGTGACGTCACTAATAACTTGTATCATTGTATCATAGCTGAGTGATCTTCATGCTCGATTATGAGTGACAGAAAATATAATAGTAGTAGTAGTTCTGTGTGTGTGTGTGGGCAGTGATAAAAGTATTTACTGTAACAATGAACAATGGCGCGACTCAGCGATACTTGACTATTATCTCCTGAGGCGGGCAGCACCTGCCCCTCTCGACCACCAGCTTCTTATAACACCTCCCAGTGGTAGCTAGTCAGTCTAACCAAGAGGAGTGATGGAGTACTGAGCTAACACACACGATCACCAGAATATTATTAAACACTAACGCTAACTTAATCTAATGCTAACCTAACCTAACATAACCTAACCTAACCTAACCTAACCCCCATGAAACGTTAGGGTGTTTAAAATCATCAGGTGAAAAAAGCTAAGGACTAATCTTCAGGTGCTCCATAGACATTTTCTTATCTTACGTGTAACGTGTGTGTGTGTGTGTGTGTGTGTGTGTGTGCGGCTATACTGAGGGAGTACACTGAGAGGTGGACAGATTGCACTATCAGTTGTGACTGCCTCTCTCTGAACTATTGTACGTCACTGACACTCGTAAACGTCATCATAATCTTAACACATGTATGTTCTCCCCCAGGGTGTATGCGTGAGGGCGCGCGCACGGGAGGACGCTGAGTGTGACGCACCACAGACTGCTGGCAGTGGCCGCGCATGACGTACTAACGCACCGCGGCGGCGACCAGTTTGTGCTTGGGTGAGTCGCCAGCGTCAGGAGGAGCTGCCTGCCGCGCCGCCCGTAGAGTGCACCAAAGATGGCGGGGGGCGACACCAAGAAGACGGTGGTGCCGTGTGGGCGTGATGATGGTGGTGGTGGTGGGGACGTCCTGGCCAGGGAGGGCGTGGGCCCCCCAGGGGACGCAGAAGGGGAGGAGAGAGAGACCTGGGGCAAGAAGGTCGACTTTCTCCTCTCGGTCATCGGCTTCGCGGTCGACCTCGCCAACGTGTGGAGATTCCCTTACCTCTGCTACAGGAACGGTGGAGGTGAGTCTTGCTGCCCTTCACTACTGTATTGTTCTCTCTGTAATAATGCCTACCTATTATTAATTCACTACAAGAGCGGTGGAGGTGAGTCCTGTTGTCTTCCTCAACAGCCTTATTTATACCCTCTACAAGAGCGGATTTGTTATTGTTTCTAACTTCAATATACAAGATCGTTTCCTCCCAACCAGTTCCTCGGGGCGTTTTCTTTGAAATAAGTTAAGCCGTTTTCTTTATAATTAAACACGTTTTATTTGCAACTAATTCCGGTCTTTTCATTGCATATTTATTATGGTGTTACTATTTATTTATATAGATAATCTAAGGAAACTTTCTCACTATCTCTCGGTCTTTTTGTCTCTCTGTCTGTCTCTGTCTGTCTGTCTCTCTGTCTGTCCGGGCGTCTTCTCCACAATGAACCAGCTAACACACTCACTACCCTCAGGTGACACAAACACATTACCATTACACTCCTTTGCTGTCACTCTCCTCATTTGCATAATTGCCCAATATCGGTTCCTGATTCCCCTACCACCAACTGAGAGTCCTAGTGACCTGCAGGTACACACACACACACACACACACACACACACACACACACACACACACACACACACACACACACACCTGTATTATCAGCTATCAGGAGACAAGTAGTATTTTATCACCACTAGTCCCACCAGGTGAAATGACAAGTATTTTTATTTACCTAGATATAATTGATACTAAAATACATGTGTGTGTGTGTGTGTGTGTGTGTGTGTGTGTGTGTGTGACGAGTATAATTAACGTACAAGCAAACATACACTCATGCATAAATTTACATACATGTGGATAGGCAGACACACACACACACACACGCACACACATACACACACACACACACACGCACACACACACGCGCGCCAAAATAAAATCTGAAATATTCACACTTAAACAAATAAACAAACACGCAAAAAAATCACTACAATAACCAGACGAAGAAACACACACAAACAAAACGACATACAAACACAAATCACATACAGACATATTCATACACTGACAAGCAGAAAATACACACACACACACACACACACACACACACACACACACATACACACACGACGCTACATCGATATAAAGGGTGTGTAGTTAGGGGATTTATGCTCCTCGGCACAGCAATTACACTGAGCCAAGGAGCGAATATTTCCCTCTTGTCGTGTTTACCGTCGACTCCCTAATTGGCGGCCAGAGCATTTATTCTCCCTTGTTGACGCCCTGTGATGGTGCCACTTTCAGGGAGAATAGAGGGATTTTAGGAGTTATGAGGGAGATGAAGGGAGATTGGGGCGAGGGAAATTTAAGGGAGATTAAGGTCTACAGAGAGGTGGAAGGGAGTTGAACGTCAACAGGGAGATGGAAGGAGATTAGGGTCTGCAGAGAGATGGAAGGGAGTTTAGGGTCTGCAGAGAGATGGAAGAGGAGTTTAGGGGTGCAGAGAGAGAGATGGGAAGGGAGTTTAGGGGTCTGCAGAGAGATGGAAGGGAGCTTAGGGTCTGCAGAGAGATGGAAGGAGTTTAGGGTCTGCAGAGAGATGGAAGGGAGTTTAGGGTCTGCAGAGAGAGATGGAAGGGTTAGGAGTCTACAGAGAGGTGGAAGGGAGTTTAGGGGTCTGCAGAGAGATGGAAGGGAGATTAGGGGGTTTAAAGGGAGAAGGGAGTGAGTGAGTTCAGGGGTCTATAGGGAGAAATTAAGGGGTGTTAGTCCCAGGGGTAATGTCGGATGACGGAGGGAGGAGGGGTAGGTCCCAGGGGTGGTGGAGGAGGTCTCAAGGGGGTTACGTCGAGGGAGGAGAGGGGTGGTAGGTCCCAGGGGGGGTGGTGTATGTTCCAGGAGGGTATTGGTTCCAGGAGGTGTAGGTTCCAGGAGGAGGAGGTGTATGTTCAGGAGGAGGAGGGTGTTGTTCCAGGAGGGCGTAGGTTCCAGGAGGGTGTAGGTTCAGGGGGGGGTGGTAGGGGGCGTAGGTTCCAGGAGGGTGTAGGTTCAGGAGGGGGTGGTTATGTTCCAGGGAGGGCGTAGGTTCCAGGAGGGTGTAGGTTCCAGGAGGGGGGTGTAGGTCCCAGTGAGGAGGGGAGGTTGGTCACAAGGGGGGGTGGTAGGTCCCAGGGGGTGATGGTGGTGACCCCAGACAATCAAGGAGGCATATAGGCTTGACCATCACCATACCTTGGGTGACCTTGTTTATTGGGGTCATACTGTACTCTATTTACCTCCTCCTGACGTCTTCCATACTGATGTGAGTTACTTACCCCTCTTCCTCCTCCTCTTCTTCTTCTTCCTCCTTTGTCTCCTCTTCCTTCTCCTCTTCCTCCTCCTTCTTCCTTCATTCACTCACTTACTCTGGCTCTCTTAGTCATTCATTCATTCACTCATTTACTCACTCTCATTTCTCCCTGACAGTGTGTGTGTGTGTGTGTGTGTGTGTGTGTGTGTGTGTGTGTGTGTGTGTGTGTGTGTGTGTGTGTGTGTGTGTGCACTACTCACCCCCTCTCCAACACTGTACTCAACAACTGTCTTCGTCATATCGTCCTGCTGATAACAACCTCATTACAGCAGTCACTTAAATCACCCAATTAAGAGCCATCCAGGAGGGGCAGTTAGCAGGTAATTACCCTGTTAACAAGGCGGTTCATTGGCTGTTATTGCTTGTAATTATCACCGGGGGATTATCGCAGTCATTAGCGTCTGTTGGTGTGAGCTGCCACCCTGATTCCCGAGGCTTTGTTTACTGGCTGGGTGGCGAGGTGGTTCTGTGGGCAGTGAGCGGTGGGTGGTTCTGTGAGCGGTGGGTGGTGGGGTGATGGGTGGTTCTGTGGGCGTAGGTGGTTCTGTGGTGGTGGTGGTTCTGTGAGCGGTGGGTGGTTCTGTGGGTGGTGGGTGGTTCTGTGGGCGGTAGGTGGTTCTGTGGGTGGTGGGTGGTCTGTGGGCGTGTAGGTGGTTCTGTGGGTGGTGGGTGGTTCTGTGGGTGGTGGATGGTTCTGTGGGTGGTGGGTGGTTCTGTGGATGATGGGTGGAGGTTCTCTGGGTGGGGGTCGTTATGTGGGTGGTGGGTGGGGGTTTTGTAGCATGTGGTGTTGTAACCTAACCTAACCTAACCTAATCTAACCTAACCTAACCTAACCTAACCTAATTCAACCTAACCTAACCTAAACAACACTTAACCACCGAGGACAATAAATAAATTCCACGTGCTGTATATGATCATTTAATCCACGTCACTTGAAGAATTAACCGCACGAGTACCATAACAGTCCCTTGAGTACGAGAATTTGAGCCAATTTACCTCATGAGTCCATATTAGTCCCTAGAGTACGAGAATGTGCGCCAATTTGCGTCCTCATCATAGTACTCCAGAGGTCACGAGCGTTCCATAAATGCTTCGGATTCACGAGTCTGAATCTTGAGGGTTCGGGGTTCAGTGGAAGAGCCGAACGCCCTTTAGTAGTTGACTGTACTGTGTATGATGGCTTTACGTGGGATAATTTCAAGGGATCAAGAGGGTTCGGATCAAGAGGGTTCGGATCAAGAGGGTTCAAATCAAGGGGGTTCGAATCAAGGGGGTTCGGATCAAGTGGGTTTGGACCAAGGTGGTTCAGATCAAGGGGGTTCGGATCAAGTGGGTTCGAACCCTTTATCCAGTGGTGTGTATACCTCTTAGTGAACTCATAGAGGCTATCATTGAAGAGAGAAACGTAATGGAGGAAAAATCCACATTGCTTGGGACACTTTATTGCTTTGTTTATATATAATGACAATAATCGTGGTTAATGTAAATACGTTGGAATTAATGACCCACCTACCCCACCCACTGACCAACCCTTTGAACCAGTCCATAACATAACCCACCTTACCCACTCACCCAACTACCAACCCACCCCACCCACCCACCCCCTGAAGCAAGGTCTCACTACTGATGTCCCGCTTTAGATCTTTTCCTTTCTCACTTAGTTGCCCCTTTTCCTTTCTCCTACATCACCCCTCACTCCCCTCCCCTATACATCACCCCTCACTTCCTCCCTACATCACCCCTCCACCCCCCCTCCTACATCACCCCTCCTCCCTCTCCTCTACATCACCCCTTACCCCCCCTCCCCTACATCACCCCTCACCCCCTCTCCTATACATCACCCCTCCCCCCACTCCCCTACATCACACCCCCTCCACCCCCCTCCTCTCATCACCCCTCACTCCCCTCCTCTACATCACCCCTCACTCCCTCCTCTGCATCACCCCCTCCCACCCCCTCCCCCTACATCACCCCTCCTCCCCTCCTCTACATCACCCCTCCTCCCCTCCCTCTACATCACCACTCACCCCCCTCTCCTACATCACCCCTCCACCGCCCTTCCCCTCCATCACCCCTCCTCCCCCTCCCCTACATCACCTCTTGCCCTCCCTCCATCACCCTCACTCCCCTCCTCTACATCGCCCCTCACCCCCTCTCCTCTACATCACCCCTCCCCCCCCTCTCCTCTGCATCACCCTCACCCCCTCTCCCTCTCATCAACCCTCTTCCCCCCTCTCCCTACATCCCCCTCACCCGCCCTTCCCTCCATCACCCCTCACCCCCCTCTCCCCTCTGCATCACCCCTCACCCCCTCTCCTCCTACATCACCCCTCCACCCCCTCCCCTCCATCCCCTCACCCCCTCCCCATCACCCCACCCTCCCTCCCCTCCATCACCCCTCCTCCCCTCCTCCTACATCACCCCTCACCCCTCCCCTACATCCCCTACTCCCTCCTCTCACATCACCCCTCACCCCTCCCCTCCATCACCCCTCCTCCCTCCTCCTACATCACCCTCACCCCCCTCTCCTCTGCATCACCCCTCACCCCCTCTCCTCTACATCACCCCTCACCCCGCCCTCCCCTCCATCACCTTCCTCCCCACCCCTCCATCACCCCTCACTCCCCTCCTCATCACCCCTCACCCCCTCTCCTCTACATCACCCCTCACCCCC